CTCTCCTCCTCCTCCTCCTCCTCCTCCTCCTCCTCCTCCTCCTCCTCCTCCTCCTCCTCCTCCCTTTTTCCCCTCGCTCGCCGCCGATCGTCTGCGAGCCGCCGGCGACCTTCTGCGCCACGGCGGAGGCCGCCTGCACGCCAGGGCCGTGCGAGTGCGCCGACCCCGGGCACACCAGGCTGCCCGTGGTCGCGGACAGCGGGGCCGCCGAGGGCCCGCCCTGCTTCCGCTGCGCGCCCGGTCCCGGGGCGCAGGCCGGAGCTGAGTCGAATGGTCTTGGCTTGCCAATATCTAGGCCTCCTGGATGGGGTCCGAGTAGATGGGGTCGGTGGATCGCGCCGCATCGCCAATGCATCGCTGATGTGGCTCGATATGGAACCCTACTCTCTCCACGCCGGCGTCGCCGACGCATCGCCGACGTCGCCGATACGTCGCCGATGCATCGCACTGCCACCTGTGTCCGGCGAGCTGAGGTCACGGCAGCTCGAGATCGGCCCCCAGAGCCCCCCAGACTTCTAACGTCTCGAGAAGTTAGAGAGGGAGGAATTTCACATCTTTCGGCCTCTGGGGGCCCTCGCCAGGCCCCGGGACCGCCAAAAAAACGACTCAGGATGAAGAGCTGGTCCAGAGGAAAGGGCCCAGACTTTTTGGGGACCCCGTAGTGAGAAACTCGAGACGTCGGATGTTTGTGCCCTGCGATCCAGGCGTTGTGATTTGTTCGCCCCCAGCTGTTGCGCTGGGGTTTTCGGGCCCTAAGACCACCAGATCGATCCAGCTCCAAAAATTGCGCAGAAAGATGGAGTCTGGGGTCTAGGTCTCTGGTTGTGATTTTGTCGCGATGCTGAATTTGTTTGCAACGCTGGATATCAGGGCCCCTCCTGGTGCCCAAGCGCACCAGTTGCCCGAGCTGCGCCTAGCCGTGTTGACGAGGGGGGTCCCCGAAGGCCAACTACACTTGAGATCCGACGTCGCGAAATAGTTGCAACATCATAAAAGAAACTACTTGAGCCCTGGTCCCCATATTTCTTTTCAACTGTTTCAAGCCAGATCGACGTGTGAGGGTCGCGGGGCCCAAAACTGGGCGAAAACTACCAGTGCAGTGCGAACAAAAATGCGACGCCAGGACCTCCGAGGAAGGCCAACTGAGCGACAGAAGAAAACGGGGTTGAGTGCGCGGGCATTCGCGTGTCAGCTTCTCGCGTAAGGTCGCACGTAAGTGTCCCCTTCTCCACGCGGTGTGCCGCGCTGGCGGCCCGCGTAAGTCACTGCGTGAGGTCGACATGTCATCGTGCGTAAGACCCCTTTCGTTTCCTCTCTCCACTGCCGCTGTTTCAACTCGCCCCCTTCCTAGACCCCCGACGTCCTGATATTTTCATGACATGGACCCCAGAGGTCTCGACCCCCAGGACTGGCCTTTCCTCCTGAGTCGTTTTGTGATGGTCCTGGGGCCTGGTGAGGGCATCCAGAGCCCGAACCGCGAAAAACCTCCCGATCGTGATTTTCTCGCGACCCGAAGGGGGTCTGGGCTCTGAGCATGGCCCGGAGGCGCCCTCGCTGGCCACTTTCCTGGTCTTCGTGGCCGTGGGCCTCGGCGGGGGTTGCGCGGTGCGCCGGCTGCGCGGGGACCTCGGCGCCCCCAGCGCCGGGGCCAGCGCGAAGGGCCGGCGCCGCGCAGCGGACGACCGCGGGCCGTGGTCGGAGCGCTTGGCAGAGGAGTGGGAGGAGGAAGGAGGAGGGAGGAGGGAGGAGGATGGAGCAGGGAGGGTGGAGGAGGGTAGAGGAGGATGGAGCAGGGAGGGTGGAGCAGGGAGCAGGGAGCAGGGAGCAGGGAGCAGGGAGCAGGGAGCAGGGAGCAGGGAGGAGGGAGGCGGGAGGAGGGAGGAGGGAGAAGGGAGGAGAGAAGAGGGAGGAGGGAGGAGGGAGGAGGGAGGCAGGAGGACGGAGGACGCAGGAGGGAGGACGGAGGACGGAGGATGGAGGACGGAGGACAGAGGACAGAGGGCAGAGGACGGCGGCTTAGTTGGAGGACTGGGGTCCCACCAGTACTGGTAACTACGTAGTTTTTGTTCCGCGGCACCCGTCGCGCAACAACGACGACAACTACGACTACGATTGTGACTACGACTACGACGACTACTGCGATTGCGATTACTACGACAACGACGACTATTCTTAAGAAGGACGAGGAGGAGGAGGAGGAGGAGGAGGAGGAGGAGGAGGAGGAGGAGGAGGAGGAGGAGGAGGAGGAGGAGGAGGAGGGGGGGGAGGAGGAGGAGGAGGAGGAGGAGGAGGAGGGGAGGAGGAGGAGGAGGAGGAGGAGGAGGAGGAGGAGGAGGAGGAGGAGGAGGAGGAGGAGGAGGGAGGAGGAGGAGGAGGAGGCTGGAGGAGGAGGAGGAGAGGGAGGAGAGGAGAGGAGAGGAGAGAGAGAGGAGAGGAGAGGAGAGTAGAGAGAGGAGAGGAGAGGAGAGGAGAGGAGAGGGAGGAAGAGGGGAGGAGGAGGAGGAGGAGGAGGAGGAGGAGGAGGGGAGCAGGAGGAGGAGGAGAGGAGGAGGAGGAGGAGGAGGAGGAGGGGGGAGGAGGGGGAGGAGCGAGAGGAGGAGGAGGGAGGGAGGAGGAGGAGGAGGAGGAGAGGAGGAGGAGGAGGAGGCGAGGAGGCGGAGAGGAGGAGGTGGGAGGGGGGGGGAGGGGGAGGGGGGAGGGGGAGGGGGAGGGAGGGAGGAGGGAGGGAGGGAGGGGGAGGAGGGAGGGAGGGAAGGAGGCGGAGGAGGAGGAGGAGGAGGAGGAGGAGGAGGTGTTAGGACCAGTCTGATTCACCGACGAGAGCAAAGGGAGAAATAACAAATATCCTGGCGAAGGACCCAACCATATGAAGTTGTGGGTACCGCAATTGTGAATATCTTCTTCGGTGAAGCTCCCGATGGGGTCACGAAGCGCTGCACTGGGCGGGGGGGGGGAAGGCATGCGGGCGGTAGCACGTGGGCCGTCGGTGAAGCTCCCTATGAGGCCACGAAACGCTGTACTGGGTGAGCGAAAACCCATTAAGGGCTTCGGTGGAGCCCCCCATGAGGCCGCGAAGCGTTGTAAAGGGTGGGCGAAAATGCCAAATTGGGTGTGGGGGACGCATGCGGGCGGCCCCACTGGAGGCTTCGGGCCACGAAGCGCTGTACTGGGCCAGTGAAAATGCCAAATTGGGTGTGGGGACGCATGCGGGCGGTCCCGCTGGAGGCTTCGGTGGAGTTCCCTGTGGGGGACGCATGCGGGCGGTCCCACTGGGGGCTTCGGTGGAGCTCCCTATGGGGCCACGAAGCGTTGTACTGGACTGGTGAAAATGCCAAATTGGGTATGGTGGGCGCATGCGGGCGGTCCCATTGGGGGCTTTCGGTGGAGCTCCCTATGGGGCAACGGAGCGCTGTACTGAGTGAGTAACAATACTAAATCAAATGCGGGGGACGCATGCGGGCGGTCCCTCTGGGGGCTTCGGTGGGGCTCCCTATGGGGCCACGAAGCGCTGTACCGGGTGAGTGAGAATGCCAAATTGGGTGTGGGGGACGCATGCGGGCGGTCCCACTGAAGGCTTCGGTGGGGCTCCCTATGGGGCCACGAAGCGCTGTAGTGGGTGGGCGAAAATGCCAAACTGGGTGTGGGGGACGCATGCGGGCGGTCCCATTGGGGGCTTCGGTGGAGCTCCCTATGGGGCCGCGAAGCGCTGTACTGGGTATGTGAAAATGCCAAATCGGGTGTGGGGGCGCATGCGGGCGGTCCCACTGGGGGCTTCGGTGGGGCTCCCTATGGGGCCACGAAGCGCTGTACTGGGTCAGTGAGAATGCCAAATTGGGTGTGGGGGACGCATGCGGGCGGTCCCACTGAAGGCTTCGGTGGGCCTCCCTATGGGGCCACGAAACGTTGTACTGGGTGGGTGAAAATGCAAAATTGGATGTGGGGGACGCATGTGGGCGCTACCACTGGGGGCTTCGGTGGAGTTCCCTATAGGGGCCACGAAGCGCTGTACTGGGTGGGTGAAAATGCCAAATTGGGCGTGGGGGACGCATGCGGGCGGTCCAACTGGGGCTTTCGGTGGAGCTCCCTATGGGGTCACGAAACGCTGTGTTGGGTGGGTGACAATGCCAAGTTGGGTGTGGGGGACGCATGCGGGCGGTCCCACTTGGGGGCTTCGGGGGGCTCCCTATGGGGCCACGAAACGTTGTACTGGATGGGTGAAAATGCCAAATTGGGTGTGGGGGACGCATGTGGGCCGTACCACTGGGGGCTTCGGTGGAGCACCCTATGGGGTCACGAAGCGCTGCACTGGGTGAGTGACACTGCCAAGTTGGGCGTGGGGGACGCATGCGGGCGGTCCCACTGGGGTTTTCGGTGGAGCTCCCTATGGGGCCACGAAGCGCTGTACTGGGTGGGCGAAAATGCCAAACTGGGTGTGGGGGGCGCATGCGGGCGGTCCCACTGGGGGCTTCGGTGGAGCTCCCTATGGGGCCACGAAACGTGTGAGGGATGTGCCGACATGGGTGTGGGGGACGCATGCGGGCGGTGGAGAGGAGGAGGGGGAGGAGGAGAGGAGGAACGCGGGGACCGTCTCTTCAAAACGAGGACCCAACACCACAGGATGATTGGGAACTAATGACCTTTCTAGCGATTGTGCAGCTTTTGCTCACTCCCCAAAGCAGCCTGGGAGCCTTCTGCTCTGGAGGGAACCATGGGGCTGGGGATCTCAACCCTTTCCCTAGGGACGATTTTTTTATCCTGGGTCGGTGCGGTGTTTGACGGTCCTGGAGCTGGGGGACGGTCTCCAGAGGCCGAACGCGGCGAGAAAGAGGCCGTCACGATTCCCTGCGCCGCCCAGATCTGACGGACGCCCTAACGTTCCCGCGCTATGAGACAATCGCGACGCGGGGTGCTCGGCGATGTTCGGCCTCGCCGGGCCCAAGAGACGGCTCGGGGCGGAAAGCGCCGTCCCCAGGCAGGGGTCCAGGCCCAGATCTCCGACCAGCTGCCTTGTTCAATCCCGGCGTGGTGCCTCGATGTCGGCCTCGGGGGCTTCTTGTCAGCCCCAAAGGGGCCATCAAAGATGGAGCCAGGGACGAAAAAGTCGGGACCTCCTTGGGGCCACACTGGAAAATTATCCCGGCAAAGCAACCTAACAGCGATGTGTAGAAGCATATCTGGAAGCATTCTCCTTAAGATTTAGGTGAGAATCCAGTTGTAGAATTCTGCTGTTCTCGCAGCGCAGCCTCAGCCTGCCTCGGCTTGCCTCGGCCTCAGCCTCAGCCTCAGCCTCAGCCTCAGCCTCAGCCTGCCTCAGCCTCAGCCTCAGCCTGCCTCAGCCTCAGCCTGCATCAGCCTCAGCCTCAGCCTGCCTCAGCCGCAGCTTGCCTCAGCCACAGCCTCAGCCTCAGCCTCAGCCTGCCTCAGCTTCAGCCTCAGCCTCAGCCTGCCTCGGCTTGCCTCAGCCTCAGCCTCAGCCTGCCTCGGCCTCAGCCTCAGCCTCAGCCTGCCTCAGCCTCAGCCTCAGCCTCTCAGTGGCCCACGAAGTGGCCCACAGTTGGCTCCGGGCATTCAAAATGTGGCCCAGGAATGGTGTTCTGGGAACACGAAGAACACGAAGTGGCCTACAGTTGGCTCCGGGCATTGAAAATCATGCCCAGGAATGGAGTTCTGGGAACACGAAGAACACGAAGTGGCCTACAGTTGGCTCCGGGCATTCAAAATCATGCCCAGGAATGGAGTTCTGAGAACTCGAAGACCACGAAGTGCGTTACTGCTTGCTTAAAACGAGTTCCCCGGCATCCCCCCGGATCGCGCCCAGACCCCCCTGGGGCGTCATGATGCTCTCTCTTTTGACCCTACTAGAAACCTATCAGTCTTCGCTGTTAGGTAATTTAGATCGTCGGATGTCTGGGGGAGGGGGCTGGCTCAGGTCGGACGGGGCTCGGACGAGGATAGATCCGTTGCAGAGTGTTCCAGGATGCTCTCAGAGCGTTCCAGAGCGCTCTGAGAAGGCCGCGGCGCCCGATGCATCCTCCAGAGCCGCAGGATCCCAGGGATCCTCGATTTATCCTCGCCCGAGTTGATCCTCGTCCTGGTTTCGTCTTTGAGGGGGGAGCTTCGACCCTCAACGGCCCATTCCCCTCGAAGAGGGCGAAGAAGAACAGGCACAGGCACCCAAGCTGGCGGAGGCCCGCGCGGAGGTTTCCCGGGTCGGCGCCGGGCCTCTCCCGGGTCGGCTTGCCTCCAGCGCCGCAGCGCCGATCTGGGAAATCCCGCGCGGACCTTCGAAGGACTCCACAATGTGAACTTCTAAGTATTCGAACTTTTTTTGATCTTTCCTTTCCACTTGTTCTATCCTGGGCCTCTTCCTGGCCACCAGGGGGCCAGGAACAGCTAGAAACGAGCACGATTGGAAACGAGCACTATCAGATATGAACGACGTGTGTGCTTCTGCAGTGCTTCCTCTGCTGTGGCTCGGGAGGGGCAGCATCCTCGTGAGGGTCGCCACTTTCCGAGGGGCCAGGGCGCCCGAACCACAACTGGTTTACGGAGCCGCCAGAGGGCTTCAGCCCCTTCACAGAGGCACCATCCTCGTGAGTGTCGCCACTGTCTGAGGGGCCAGGGCGCCCGAACCACCACCAGCCTACGGAGCCGGCAGAGGCCTTCAGCCCCTCCAGAGGGGCACCATCCTCGTGAGGGTCGCCACGTTCCGAGG